GTTATGTATTTATTGTTTTTATTGTTTTTATTACAGGTCTGGGTGATTATTGCAAATTAGGAAATAGCAGAAGTCGGTGGAGAAATTAATTACTTCCCAAGGGTGTGGCAGAAATTTAAAATATTTTGTGTGTATAAGAGCAACTTGTGTCTTTAGATATAAGTATTCCCTGACACTAATTGGAGTAAGGATGATGAAATCTTACACAACTAAATCCCTGTAAGTAGCATAGTGGAGAGAGCCTATACTGCTTGGAGACCATGGAGATGTGATAACAACCCTGATCCAAATATAGCTGATTAACCCCTGCAGCACTGATCTGTTTTTAAGGAGTGTCGGCCTTGGCCCCTTTCTACAAAGATAATTGAATTCGGCCTAATCCGATAGGGATGAGAGACATTTGAAGAAGGAAACGGCAAACATGTTTCAAAACTTCCAACCCCTGTGTGAGGGTGAAGGGAAAGCAGCAGAGCAAGACTAATACTCATAGTTTCTACTGTGTATTATTGATAACTAGCTAAAAAAGTGAACATTGGACATACTGCTTTGCACATAGTTGTATTCTTCATGGAAAAAATGATCTGCCCTTCTGCTTGGGATCTGTCTCTTCTGGCTTGTATTTTTAATTACAAGCTCAGTTTTTCCAAGAGTCATGGACAAACACGGCTGAAACAGACTCAATATGGGGAGAGGCTATATATATTTTTTTTTACAAGATTGGCAAACAAACCTTGATTTTACATTATCCGTATGCACTGTAGTAAGTACCCCTCAAGCAAAACAGACACATTTATTTTAACTTTAAATGTATTGTACTTTTTGGAGCCATGGACATTACGTTTCTCTGACAACATATGTAGAAGGTACATTTCTCTCTGCACCCTATCTCTGGCAGAACTATCAGGACTTCCTGTTTTTCAAAGGAAGCACAAGGTTGTGGCTGACAGGATCTCATCAGGCATGAGTGACTGTGGCAGGACCCATGCTCCTCAGACAGAAGTAAGAAGCTGTAATCTCCCCTTCACTCAATAAGACGGTAAAAAAAACTTTCCATGGAATGTTTGACTTTATTATTTCTCCTTGTTGGCGACACCAGGGATCAACCAAACTCCTGTTACCCCTGATGCTATTTCACTATATGCGGTTTTAACAGGAACTCTGAGGAAACCCTCAGAGTTGATTACAAAAATGGAGACGCAAAGAAAATAATAAAAAGATATACTTCTGAGCAGACAAACACTAAAGAAAGAGGTAAAGATCCAACAGAGCATAAGATCAGATGTGAGAAATTGCATCTTCTCTCAATCCTCTAACTTTAAAGGCTGCCTTAGCTAAATTATTACTCGTTTTTAACTGCCACTAAGATTTACAAAAATGCCTGACCGGTGTAACCACAACTGTGAAATGAAACCTTATTTTTACACTTGAAGATAAATAACACCTTATTATTTAGTCAAATGATCCATAAAGTCATCAATTGTCTGTATTGTTGTTTTATGGTTCACATCTGTCACCTTGTGCCTCAGCATACAATAATAAAACACAATTTGTTATCAATTGTTGACACGGTGTTAAAAATGTTCCACTGACGACACACCTCCTGTTCCTTCTAGATTTGTCCATCTTATGAACCACCTTGTTTGTTCAGTCACACATAAAAGCTTTACATGCAGCATGGTATAACGTGGAGGAAGAACATATTATTATACAGTTGTACTGTACTTAAAGGTGGGGTAGGTAAGTTTGAGAAACCGGCTCAAGATACACTTTTTGTTATATTCCATGGAATGCTCTTAACATCCCGATAGCAATGAATATCTTAAGTGCTTTGACCAAAGATCCATAAAAATGTTGTATCTGTGGAAGCCGTAGTACTGTAAAAAGCACGACCAATCATTTTAGCCGGCCCGGCTAAAATAACTGGATGGCCTACCTGCCTGTCAGCCTTCCATCGGGGCACAAACTTATCTCGTGCCCTCATTGGTCATGTGCGCGTTCATGTGTGTTGGAGGAGGGGCTCTGTAAGGAAGTGGCAGATTTTTTCCGGCTGTGTATTTTCAAATTTGAGCGCACTCGAGCTGGTTTCTCCAAAATTACCTACCCCACCTTTAAGTGAATCAATTCATCTCCATTTATTGTTTTATTGTGTTCACCTTGTGCCCGTGTTTTCTCCTCCCTCCTCACCTGTGTCTTGTTTGTGTGATTAGTCTTGTGTGCATTTAAATTCTGGTTTTTCTGTCTGTCGTTGTGAGATTATTGTTTGTTGTTGACTGTGTTCACGGGGGAGAGAGTTCTGCTCTGTATGTTCTTGTAGCCTTGAAATAAAGGTATTTTCTGTTTAATCTGCATTTGGGTCCTGCCTGCTTCACTCAACCCTGACAGTGAGATGAGTGTGCGGCTGAAACAAGGGGGAGATTAACTAGAGATTAACCTCTCAAGATGACCAGCACACTTACATTTGCAGCATTTAAGCCCTAACTTGGTTCTTTTGCGTTGACATTTTAGAAAGGTATGTGAAAATCCAGTAGCGACCATTATAGAAAAGAATGAATGATTGTCTTGATGTTGGTACAGAAGGGAAAAAAAGCGAGTATCGGGAAAGAGAGTCAGCTCGCTAAGAAACACAGAAAGCCATGTCATGAAGAAGAAGTGTCTGTCTATCCCACACTTTACAATCGGAGACCAGCTGGCCAGACCAAAGCATCCATTCAGTAGGCTTACAGGAAGTGAAAGAGGGGGAAAAAACAAGATTTCAGAAAAAAAGACAATACAACTATCTATTCTGTTAGTGCCACCAACAACTGGGTGGTTTGTGAGTTGGTTTCCACAACTAATGAGTGACTCGTGGCGTTTTCACCAGTGAAACACTTGTTGCCACTCAGCAAAAAGTGATAAGGTGTACCTTAAACATTATTTAGTAACAAAAAGGACGCCTCGTGACACTCACAGTAGGGCTGTGCGATTATGGCAAAAATCATAATCACGATTATTTTGGTCAATAATTGATATCACGATTATTAAAAACGATTATCCATTTACTTTGAAAACATCCATATATTGAAAAAAAAAATGTGAACAGTATGTTTTTAACAGTTGATTACCCTGAACTTTAAGTATAATTCAACTGAAAAACAAATAAAAAAAATAAAAAATTACATTTTTTTTTTTTCTTTTTAATAAAAATAATAATCGTTTTATTTCGATTACATTGTTTTCGTAATCGTTGCAAGCCAAAATCGTAATCGAGATTAAAATACGATTAATTGCACAGCCCTAACTCACAGGCTACAATTATTATCTTCATCACGTTCATTGCAAGCTCTCAATTGTCTCCCAACAATGAAAACTTAATTTGGCGGTCCATCAAGGTGGCCAACATTTCCAATCAATCAAAAATGGAAAGTTTACCAATAAACAGCACAACATACGCAACAATGTACGATTATAGGCAAGACCAGGCGCTCCAGAACAGCACCAGAGATGAAGATGTAGTACATTTTTGTACACACTTGGTGAGATAAGTGGAATGAAACAGTTCGGTAAATCTATTGTATCACGTACAGAACTCATATGTGCTTGATGAAATAGTGACCTTTGCAAGAAATCTTGTAAACAATAACTAACTTTATTTTATGTGCTAAAGCGCAAATAATGTATTTTTAATTTGTCAATGCTGTGTTTTTGTTGCAAAGAAATCAGGTCTTATGAAACCACTTTTAGACTACCAAAACCACTAAAACGGTGCATCAGTTCATGACATGTCTAGCTTGTTTTCAGGCATAGGATCAGCCTCAATGTTTGTGTGTTTTCAAAGAAGGGTTCCCATTAACACAACAAGTGGTTTAATATGTAAATCTGCGTTGAAAATATCTATCAGAGAGTATTGCAAGGCCTAGATGTTGATCTTGAGTTTTATCTATCAGTTTGCATTTATATAAACTGTATGTCAGTATTTATAAATAATAAGTAAGCCGTTTTACCCATGTTTTAAGCATCTGGAACTTGATGAGCCCCATACTTCTTTATCCTAATTCTGCAATAAAATATTTCCACATACTTGGTGTTGAAAACTTGCTTACATTAACATCAAAACACACACATAAATTGTGGCTGCAAGAGTTTGAAAACCACACCAATCCTGTTTGAAACTCTTCCAATAAAAGTTTAAATAAACAGCTCTCAAAAGAAAAGCAATATATTACAATAACAAGACGAGAGCATAGCAACAGAAGGCAATCTAAACATCAGCATTGTGTTGGATGTAGGTCAATCATCCATATGCAGAGAAAGAAAATATTCACTCTGGATGTGGTTCTATATGTTCACTTCAGGTTGTTTTCCCTGATGTTCAAAGGCAGGAATGGGGGAAGGGTTTACTGATCTGACCCTGAGGGAATTAACTCCCAACAGACCAGCCTGCTGAGGGTCCTCATGGCATGAAGAAGACGGGTCTAATGGGAATTTCCTACTAACTGTGGTTAAGTGGATGCAGAACACTAAGAAATAAGGGTGGAGTTCATCTTTCTCAAGGCATGACAGAGGGTTGAATGCTTGGCGTGGGGGCTGTCACACCGGAAAAATTGCCCTTTGTCACTTAACAAGAAAGACGGGTATTTTCTCTTTTCCATGCATGTGCTTCTGACAGGTGTGTTGGGGTTTTGCCGCTTAATTTAACTATGCAGTGAGTATGTGCATTGAATGCAAAGGAGGATTAAGTCAAAGTACATAGTTTCTCAGAGAGATGCAAAAGTTAAGTTTGGTCTGCTGTCAGTGACGGTCAAGGTGAAACATTGGTTAGGTTTGTTTGTTTGTCAGCAAAATTACTTCAAAACTACTTGCTAGATTCTCATGAATCTTGGAGGAAGGATCTGGCATGGGCCAAGGGAGAACCCATAACATTTTTGAGTAGATCCGAATCACAAAATGGGAAATTTGGCCTTGTGGAGGTTCTGGTTCTAGTTCTAGTTTTGATCTGTGACAGTAATGCTTGAAAGACCTACCACAATGTGGTGAAAGAGAATCTCCCAGGACTGATTCAGCTTCTGGTTCAACACCATGTCAAGGAAGTCACAGATGAAGTAGCCTGTTGGGAAAGAGAGCATTTAGCCGATGTTAATGACATCTTTAAGTTTAGCAATTCATTTATCAAACAGCATGATTCATTTAACTAAAGAAGCCTCGAGCATATCGAGTCGGGGGGGCCACCCTGCTTCCATGACGACAACCACGGTGCGTCTTGGAAAGAGGCTATTCATATCCACTCCTTCCCCACCACCAGCCGTATCCATGGTTACAGCTATTCACAATGCTGAACAATGATGAAGTGGTGAGGAAGGGGATGAAGGGGTGAGAGGGGGCTTTGGTGGGACTGGATTTAAGCTCATTGTATTGGAAATTTGACACCAAGACCCTTTTGACATGTTTGGATTGTCTCACCATACATAAATGTACTTGCTTTCAGCCTCAGGACGAAATATTGTCTAAAGATATTGGAGGGAACTCCACGCCGATGATGTCTCTTTTTAATAGCTTGTTATTTATTTTTTTACAAGAGTTCATGTTTGGGTCAAGTTTAGCTATAAACAGTCAATTGGAGCAGCATGTGACTTGTTAAATTAAAGAGCCAATAAACGTACACTTCTTTGCCGATGTGTTTTAATATGGAATAATTAATTACTGTCTTATACAGTACAATACTTTGTATTTAAACATAAAGGTGAAACAAAGAATCACTTTGTTTTTAAGAATAGTATTACTCTTTATGTTCAACCCAGGCATGATGCCAATGCACAGTTAATGTCTACACAGAGAACAAAGGAATTGGAAGCTACTTGACTTTCCCTTGGCTAACAAGCAAAGCATGAACAGTAAGAAAAAAAGGTTTCTAGTTAAATCATCCAAAGCAATAGATTCAGGGTTTTTTCATTCGAGATCCTGTGGGATGACAGCCATTGGCATGTTTACATTAAACCAGTTAGACAACCACCGGGTTCCAGGCTCATGCAACACAACCTTAACCTTAACCTGGTTAAGCCTGATCCTGGAGTAACTGCAGCATGGGGCATGTAAACATCTCATCAATGTGGCCTTTTCCCACCAGTCTGTGTAAACTTGACTTTAGAAGCATGATGCATATAATTGTGAATACTTGTTTATACTATATCAACTAAATGTGTCCATGGAAAAATAATGACTATGACTATGAGCATCTTATTTTCTGTATTAGATATTAGATAAAGCTGAAAGAGATATCAATTAGTTTCAACTTTATTAAATAAATTGCCACATAAGTTAATTTAATTAATTTAATCAATCGTTTAATAAATGTAATCAATTAATCTGTTTGAATAATTTCAAAGAAAGAAAAAACTCAAGATCATTTTAATTCAAGCTTCTAAAATGTGAATATTGTCTTGTTTGTTTTTCACTTCTCTGACTGTAAACTGAATAGACAGATTCCTCTACAGCAAAGAAAAAAAGGTTTTGGTTGAACTCTTAGTATTAAAAGTAACTAGGGTTAGGGTTATTAAAGCCCCTTGACAAAAGGATCACACACTTCTGGGCTGTGCAAGACATTGTTCTCAGCATTGAACAAGGTCTTCATTCAACAAGTGGAGAATCATTTATGGCATGTCGTTGCAAGGTTATCAGCGTGGTATCCCAGCGAGAACAGGCCGAATGCACAAATCCGGAGAACAAAACTCCTCACTACAACTTGCTGAGGCCTCAGAATCACACCACATCTCCAGTGGGAGGGCCGGGAGAAAAACTCCACTTGTTTTCCATGAATGACTCCCCTTTCTGTAACCACTGGCATCTGACAAGCACCACCCGCATAAATTAACGGACTTTTTGCCCAAGTTACAAGTGAGGTCACGTGACTGTACGGGGTTACGCCTGGTGCCAACTAGGACTGATAATAATGCCCTCCATTGATCTTCACACATTAACACTGTCCCCTTGCTTTGCCAGCTTCCAGGGCTGGGCTTCCTGAAAGAATGTCAAACATCCTGGGAATCCTCGGGGAGCTCTTGTTGACCGGCACACTTCCAATAAATGTCTGGATTTAAGAGGACCCACGTGCCAAGAGATGTTTTTGAATACTTTAAGGATTCATGAGAAACGGTAAAGGCAGGATGAATATCTATTTTAAAGATTTATGCACACTTAAGTGTAATAAATCTTTATGATATTAAGCAAAATCCAATCAAGCAAGAGTTTCTAATTGTGTGTATATATATATTTACACAACCAAGACAAATTAGCTTTAGTCAAGCCAAAAGAAAGTGTAAATGGGTTCAAAGTCCAGTTAAAGGGAGGGTACACACACACCTGAATCACAGACCAGAAACAATCATCTCCATCTCTAATGGCTTAGTTGTGAGAACAGTTTTACATTAGTAAACAAAGACCAGTAAACAGCAACAAGTTAATATTTACAATGTCAGTGAAATGTAGAAACAATGAACTGCCTATATTTGCTGACAAAAGTCAGAGCACATTTCAACACTGAGGTGTAACAAGTCTCAATTTACCTTGTTGCTGCGCTTTTCCAACTGATTAAAATAATAATGAATTGTCAGGTCAAGATTTGTTCTAGTCAGTTAAAATAATGATTCACATGCTTTTGGACCTATAACTTCCACTGACACCCTGTGGGAAAGGAGACTGCCAGGCATGGATAAAGTCACTTCCTCATTTCCCCTTATGGTGGCAGCAGCACCCATGGGTGCACTACATCTGAGCCTTCCCTTTCACCAACACAAGCCCATTCAGACACATGTGTTATTTTTTATAAAACTTATTTTGTCAAGCAGATTTAATTTTCCATAATATTGTCCATGAATCAATGCTTTGTTATACTGATGTTATGTGCATATTGTGTTTAATTTATTTTGTAAAAGGTGATAAACAAATCAACTGTTTGTATTTATATTAACACTGTGCTGACAGTCTATACTTACCGATCGATAACGACACCAAGGCGTGAGAAAACACAGAGTGAGTTTCTATCAAATCTTCGGCCATCTGTGGGTGGCGGAAAAAGCTGAAAAGACGAACACAAGGGCAAAAAAAACTTGATGTGAGAGTGATGTTTTTACTATTCATGAGCCAACTTCATATCAAGAGTTATTGGTAGAGGATTTTTTTTTGTATTGTCTCGTCTCGGTGGTCTGCAGAAGTAAACATTATCATAATAATGTAAAACTATGTGTAGCCTAATCAACAAATCCAGGACAAATGGGAACAAAAAGTCCATAAAGGGTCTCGCATGCTGGCATGGCAAAAATAAAGGTTAATAATGAATAATATAAATATTTACTAATCAAACAACCTTAAATGAAGGCTAAATATATTAAAGGCACATTTTGAAAACAACCGCGCAAAAGTTCAGCATCCGTTTATGAAACCATGCTCGCATGATATGTAACCCTTTTCTCCTAGTCAGCAGACTCAGCACCTTATGTAAACAAAATAGTTTAGTGGGATTTTACTCACCATAACACTGCCCATATCGCAGTGATAAAGCTGTGCACGAAGGATGTAGAGATGTTTCTCCATTTCCATGCATTCCTGCAGGCAGACTCAGGCATGGGCAGTTTACTGACACCAGCATTGACCAGCCTAAAAAACCCGACCGAGACCCCAGTGGTTAGGATCACTGAACTCAACTCCATAGCTCAAAGGTTTGTTGAATGAAGACTTAAAATGCAACAATTGTCCCCAATGTGAGCGGTATCAACGCACTTGTCTTGTTGTCCAGCCAGAAAAAAGACGAGACAATCACACCAGGGTATTTCCAATTCCAATACCTCTCCGACTCGAAAAAAAAACGTGTTTCTTCCACGGTTTTTGTCCAGAGAAAGAAAGCGTGGACGTATGTTTGTGATATGTTTTCGGTGATAGTCCTAACAGAGAGAGCTGTGCAGCCACCGGTGTGCCCGGTGGAGGTGGGTGGGGAACGTCAGTGTGAAGCCGGGTGTACAGTTGTGAAACAGTTTTGTTGTAAAACCTCATCCCTGCTTGTGTAACTTTTGACATCAACAGAAAGGACTTCCCCGCCCTACTACAAAGGGGCGCGGCCGAGAGCACGTTCTGTGTGTTGTGTTACCTTCATGTGCTGTCGAAAATCCGTTCATCTGTTTTTTGTTGGGTGAACATTAAAGTAACCTGTCTTTGTGTTTTCTTGCATAACCATGATTACATGCAAACAATTAGACTAGAAAATAATAACTTGAGTCAGGGTTGGGAATTAATAAGTATTTGCTTCCTCTTCCTTTTCAAGTATTTTTGTTAAATATATAAATATTGTTGAATAGATAAATATTGTTTGACAATTAATAAAAATAAAATAAAAGACTGTGTTCTACCAATACGGTATTCTGTTGTTTTTAATCGGTTCGCAATAGAGATGGAAAAGAGTTATATTCGACCAATTTTAATGAATAGTATTCTTCATAGTATACTTTTTATTTTTGTATTGTAATTGTTTTCTAATCCTTGTGTATGATATATGCTTTATATTGATTTAATCTCAATTAATATACTTGGCAGTAAAAAAACATTCTGATTCTGATCAAATTAACTATAAGAAATAGTGAAAATAAATCAGTTGTAGAAGTAGAAGAGCGGCACAATTTTGTCAATTAATGTGCCACTTATTGAACAGGGGATTTTCAAACGTTTATTTAATCAAGTACAAGTTGTTGTTTTTTTCTTTTTTTATCCTAATGGGACTTCCTAATAAAATTAAGGTACAAATAAATATATGTTAAGTTATCCTAATATATTGATTTTGGAATGGTTACTTACTGTACAGCTGCTTGTATTGTAAAGTCATTGTAAGGTCACAAAGTTTTTTAGAATATTTCAAATCAAGCCAGAAGATACCCAGCACTGGTGAAGACACTCCTTTCCTAAAACGGGTTGGCCCTGACTGCAGCAGGGCTGGGATCAGTGATGAAGTCCCCTTCAGTTTAAAAGCCTGAAATACCTGTTGATAAAGTGAACATACCAAATAAAACCTACCTAAAAGGATAGCCTTATCCTCCCTTTGATTTAATTTGATTATACATTTCGAAATTATGTCCAAAAACACAAAATATACATTTATTGGACACTGCAGCTTGCTCATAAAAAATAAAAAATATAGTCAATTATTGTTTTATTTTAGCACTTTTAACTTTGAGCTTGAATAAAAAAAACAGCTACCATGGTTTCGTTACGATGTATATGTCTTGCAGACATACCACAATGCACTACAAATTAGGATAGGACTAAGAAAGCTGAATTGAACGGAGAGCACTTGAAGGCAACATGCTTCTAACCTCTACCATTCACATTCATTTGTGGGAATAGTAGTTTATTATACCTGCAAATAAAAAATAAAAAATATATCGCAGGACATGCTACTTTAAATCAGCAGAACACCTATCATACAGAAGTATTGTATAATATCATAATGTTTGACGGTACACCGTTCAATCTAAAGCCTGGCCATGAACGTGAATGACTCTTGAAATATGTGGTGCCACAGCGCCACCGTCCGCTTAAAGGTAAATTAAACAACACTATTCCACTCAGCTGACATCATTGTCAAGTCATTCTTATGTCAGCATGTGAATGTGTGTTTGGTCATAATAAAGCCTGTAGCCTAAATAGAAATTATAAGGGCCAATATTATCTGATCGTTGCGGGATTGGGATACACATTCTGTCAAGAAAAAACCTCTCTATCCTGTGCCGTACTATAATGGCTAGTTCATGTGTTGAATACATAGACTGTTTATATAAAACATGGGAGTCAGTAGGAGGAATAAATAAACACAAAATTAAAGTTGAGAATAAAACAGAACACACATTATTATATATCTTAAATGTATTTCTGCATTTATTTTCACTTACATAATATATATTTATTAATTTCTGTGTCTGTGCGTGTTTCAGACAATGTTGTTTTGCTTGGTAGCCTTAGCTAGCATCTTTTGTCTTCTGCTATGCTGATGTTAAATATGGAAAAATTGTCCCCACCACTGTTTCTAACAAAGTGAAGCCCATGGTAATGACAATGAAAACCCTCACAGATCAGTAGAAAGCATCGATTGATTAATAATGGGGATTTAATGCTTTGCTCAAAGGTTACAGTTACATGCAAAAACCCTGACCGCGGTGAAGTTAGTTTTAGGTTGGATATTCGACGGACATTCGCGGACCAGCCAGCAGCGTCAGTTTCCCCTGCTGCTGGCTGTATTACGACGGGGAGATCTTCTGCGCGAAACGAGGCTTTCACTTAGGGACCATCAACAAATGACTTTTCAATTACACAAGAAAAATGTTGTTTTTAATAAATCGACAGCTTCTCGATCGTGTGAATGTGAAGCAAATTCACTCTAGAGCATACATTTATTGAACACACCTCTTTTTATTACATTTTAATACTTTAAATATTTTATATTAATATTTTGATGGAAAAATGAGTTTATTTCTTCAATACCTTCCAGGTCATGTGACCTAATCACTCAAAATCAATGCTGGGTCAAAGAACTACACTGGCTGCATAGGACACACCTCTTTTTATTGCATTTTAATACTTTAAATATTTTATATTAATATTTTGATGGAAGAATGAGCTTATTCCTTCAATACCTTCCAGGTCATGTGACCTAATCACTCAAAATCAATGCTGAGTCAAAGAACTACACTGGCTGCATAGGACACACCTCTTTTTATTGCATTTTAATACTTTAAATATTTTATATTAATATTTTGATGGAAACATTTGCTTATTTCTTCAATACCTTCCAGGTCATGTGACCTAATCACTCAAAACCAATGCTGGGTCAAAGAACTACACTGGCTGCGTAGGACACACCTCTTTTTATTGTAAATTAGCTTATTAGCTTAGCTTAGCTTATTTCTTCAATATCTAATGACTCAAAATCACTTTCTGAATTGAATACTAGTCTGTACACAATAGAAACAGCTCTTTATATCGGATAATATTACATCCTCTATTTAATATTAATATTTCTATGGAAAATTCAGGGTTTTTTCTATAGCTTCCCTGTCATGTGACCCAGTGATTAATGATCAGAAAGTAATACAAACAAGGCTACACAGGACACATGTTTTTACTAATCGTCATCATTGAGCACATTTCAAGTATTACTTGTACAAAGGACATTTCCAATATCCTGTCTCTGCCTTTTTAAAGTCTCTGCTGTCCATTGCCAGACACTGGGCATGGTACCATCGTTCACAGTCATCACACTGAATCTGTTGAAGTGAAAGAAATAATGTATTTATATATTTGTAGCTTAGATTACCATTCAGTTGTCTTAATACTCAAGTGTTAGTGAGGAATCAGCTGACACAATCATCTGGTCCTTAAAACCCACTGCCTGTGTTTTAACATGCTCTTGTTTTGTTTTTGTTTTTTTGTTTTATTGTTCTGTCTTTTAAATTGTTTTATTTAAGTATTCCAGTAATGTGTGTTGCATGTTTTAAATGTATTGTATTTACTTGTTTAAAATTAAATGTGTTTTAGGTTGACTTTTAAAATCTGTCCAGGGACTACAGATGAAAAATAGCCTCTTGGCTAACTCTGGCACATTTACAGAGATGTTAATTAATGTGCACTGTCCCTGTTAAATAAATGAATACATTAAAAAATAAATGTAGACATCACAATTCCACATTTTCTTCACAACAGCTCACCCAGTTTGTGATGGGAGATCCAGATCCTGGAGGCCTTAAGGCAGCACACATAGCACAATAAGTGTGCTCATCAAGGACTGAAACAAGATAACAATACATGTATGTCAGCTTCTATATACATACATATACATACACATATATATATATATATATATATATATATATATATATATATATATATATATATATATACATACATACAGACACACATATACATATATTCATATTTATTTACCTGATGCCTCAAGGATTTCGAGAGCCAGTTCTATCCTCTCCTGTTTCATGTATTTCTTCGAACACTCGAAATTCACATTCGGGATCAGAGGGAAGGACTCCATGACTGCCTTTGCCATCTAAACAAACAACATTTATGTTATGGAGGTTTTTTCTTCTTTATTGTATAGTAATACAGATACAGACAAAAACATGAGACACATTATAGAAGACATCCACCCTTGACTAGAATGCCTCCCAAAACTTTTCATTATTGATATAGACCGGTCCTATTATTGGAATTTTGAGATATTCTGAAGCGAAGTTTTGTCAATGAAACTTTCTGTGTTCAAGTGAATACTACATTAGTGTTAAATAACTGTTAATTTAAGTTCAGCAATGTTGTGTCATAATCCAATTGTTGTCAGTTGTGAAAAATACAATAAACAACAACATGATATCGGCATTATACTGTATATTGTCCATTGGCCAACCTGCCTGCTAAATATTATGGGGATCAGCATCGGCCTTTAAAAAACCCTTATCGGTCGACCACTACTTTGACAGATTTTTTAATCCGTCCTTGCATTAAACTGTCTTTCACATTAAAAACTCTGCTTGTTAACTGGATGAAAACAGAATCTCTTCAGCTCACCTTCACAACAACGACACCACAGCTACATCCATCCTTTTGAAGTGGGTGGCCCATAACGCCTCCCTTCCACTTAACATCCACCCAGTCTGTTATGCTGTGGCGTGTCCTCCTCATCTTGAAGTACTCCCTGAGAAAGGATAATGTTAACACACTTTATATTTCTAATTATGTGGCACCTAAAGATAATGTAACAGAAATTCATACTGTTTGTATTCAGCATATGACCATTTATTTATATAAGGGTCAGCTATAGATATCACTGTCTGAACACAGACTGTATCAGACTGTTTAAAATGCTTTCAATGCTGTTTGTGAGTATGAATGTAACTAAATGTGACACATTTTTTACGTTTAAATATAGTTTTTACTTGAATTTTCAAATATCTATTGAATTTTTATTTACTGTATTCTTTTGGCAGCATGTTCGGAGTCATCAAGCTCTTTGATGCTTTGAGCTGGATCCACCAGGAATACGGTGCTGGTTTTGGCATGAATGTACTGTGAGAGAACAAAAAAAGTAAAAGCACTTTTCATCAAAAAAGATTTTTGGTTTCACTATGTAAGTCTTGTGCTTTAACAGAAATAATACAATAACAAAATAATTACAAACCAGCAACTTCCAGTGGTTGTTGTTGACAAGTACAAAGGACAGGACAGCTTCATAGTTGTCAAAGTTTACCTATAATGGCATCAAATAAAGGATTAAAACAAACTTGAAGGCTAAGGTAAAAATAACAACAACATTAGTCTGACAATTATGTTCTTGTGCCATTCATTTGTTGTGCTTAAAACAAGTGTTGGTATGGAAATTCAATAGTAAGTAGATTTATCAGGTGATTTAACTAATGAGTATAGTTTCAGAGAGGATAAAGTAAAATAATCTCAGCTAATTTCCTATTTAAGACCTGTGGATTCTCAGCATTCTTCACTCCATGTACCTAATGTGTGAGTGTGAGCCCACAAATCAAATCCACACCTACTTCCCCCTACAGCATCACCATGCACAAACACAACACACCACACACATAAACATACACAGACCACACACATTACCTTTGGTAAACTGTGAGATGTTATCTCACTATACGTGTCAGTGTCACATTATAAGTTTAATAAAGTTAAGGCCCAAGCTTATATGGTTTTTCATTTACAACGCTTAGACAAAATTGGCTTGGTTCCTGTCCATTTCTCTTACAAATATGCAGTTGTCCTCTTTAAACGTATTGTTATATGATGTACATCACGCTATTTTCAATCTTATAATGACTGTATTAAGGTATCACATTAAGTATAATATCTAAAAGTATTATCTTTCATTTTTTTTTTTTTAAATGTACACCAATCCAAAAACATTCTTGTGTATTAACAGTTCAAATAAAAGGGGTATAATTGTTTTCCTCTGAATGGATTTGCTATACTCTTCGGTGTGATCCATAGGGTTTGTTGTGGGAGGAGCTCGCGGGGATCACATGACTCCGGCTAGATGTCACGCGGGCGGGCAGTTCTCCTCTGCTCGCTATTGAATGAACCACGTAACACTGCCGAGGAACAGTTTGAAGCTAATTGTATCTTCTCTCACTGGCGTCAGATCGAAGAAAACAGGTGAGTACATCTTCATGGAGGTTTCACGTTTCAGTGGTTAATGTAGTTGAATGAGGGACATAAATTAAGAGGTATGTGCGATGCTTAGTGTTATTTACGCCTTTTACATCACTTGATGTATTATGAGTTTCACAGCGTGGAAACAGAAATCAGTCATAATTGTGCATGCTGATGCTTTTTATTGGCATGTTAGTTGTTTATCATACGTTTACTATTACTGTTTGCATGTCTTTGTCCTTAAAGGTTGCATAGTAGTCTATGACATTTGCACAACAAGCACAGTAACCACAAAACAAAGGCATTCAAACATGTATATGTACTATTTAGTCCCACAAAGAAAATATGTAAGGATCAACAACAACGAAGGAGACAATAGTGCCAGACATATTGTTCCTTGAAGGTAAAGTAATCTCAATAAACTCTTCAGCGCCTACTGTGTCCCCTTTACTAAACATGCTTATGGTCTATACCCAAAGGCAAAGCCAGGATCCTTAACTATAGCCCTGTTTTCTTAATGGGTGTTGCAGGAATGAGTCATAGCCAAGAACCAGGTGAAGGAGCAGACCAGGGTGTGGTGACGGGGCTGGTTTGTCAGGAGGCTGACCTCAAAGATGGACAGTAAGTCACTCGCTTTTTCTTCCTGAAAAAATATCAGTTTTTAGATATAACACCACTATCAGATTGTTCTGAACTGTTTCCCATCTTCCATCTTTTGTGTTTTAAAGGATGAAGGAGGTGAAAGTGGGGGATCAGGAGGTGCTGCTGGTCCGGACTCAGGGTCAGTACAGTGCTGTTGGAAGCCGGTGCTCTCATTACAATGCTCCTCTCATCAAAGGTAAACATTCAATCCCTTTTTACCCTTAGCTGATTTATGCTTTATGAAATGTTTTGCATTGAATTTAAGAATTGACAATTGCATGTTCTCTGATGATCCAGGAGTACTGGTTGGTGACCGAGTGAGATGTCCGTTTCATGGTGCTTGCTTTAATGTCAGAACCGGAGATATCGAAGAGTATCCAGGTCTGGACTCTCTGCCCAGTTATAAGGTAAATGTGTTGGTAGGGTTTGAGCTTTATTAATACGTTTTATTAAATTAATCCAAAAGATTAAAAAAAATTGTCTAATTTCTGATGATTTACTTGAACATTATTTTCATGTAACTACTACAAAAAATACCATTAACAAATATGGATATTTTAAAAACAAAGCATCTAGTCCAGGGGTGTCCAAACTTTTTTCACCGAGGGCCACATGCATAAAAATATACGAAGGGCTGGGCCACTTATAGAGGTGAGGTATATTGCCTCATAAGTCAAGTTATAAGTCAGCAAAATCAATGAAATGTAGGTAAATTATGCTTGTCAGCTCTCCATAGGGTTTCATTTATCTTGTTAGCAGCTCATTCCTTAAAACAGGAGCCTCAGATTGATTATAATAAGAGCAAATAGGAAGGGTATATTTCAAGCTTGTTATGTAAATAAGTCATTAAGCTTTTCTCTTTCAACTTAGATGTGTTAGAAAATGTTTTCAACTTTAATTGGCTGAATGTATTTGAAACATTTGGCTTATTAACTCATGAATACTATTGTGTAATATATGTTTACATATATATTTGAGAAGTACAATATAAGACAAGAACAAGTTTCATTTGTGGGCCATATTTCATTATACTTTTTTAATTAGCTGAGGGTCGATTCAAAATGGCCCGCGGGCCGCATTTGGCCCCCGGGCCGTAGTTTGGACACCCGTGATCTAGTCCCTTCGCTCTGAGTAGAGAAGACAAAAAGATGAGAGATTAGATTAAATGTCTCAGTTGCTCAGCAGGTCGACACCCACTGAGTATTTCCCAAACAGTGGACTGTTTGTCAGCTATGATCACACATTGCATGCATGATGATTATGTATGCACATTCATGTTAAACACAATGTTGAGCACATGGTCTTTTAATGAAAATGCTGCCAGGAAAGCGGAAACATGACTTATTCCAGATTTTCATCACCACCAGATGTTACTATTGTTTTTAATACCTGCCGATAATCATTATCCCCGACACAGGATTATGTTTTTTTAAGACAAATGACCCCCACTGTGCTATGATCTACACTTGTGATAAAGAAAGTCAAGCTGTACCTAAAACTCTGTCTTTTTTTGTTTCAAAGGTAAAAGTTGAGGATGGCAAGGTGTATGTTTCCATCAACAAAAATGTAAGTAATGGCAAGTTAAATAGATATTACGAGGCTTCCTTTCCTTTTGTGTTTAAATACGTTATTTGTAATCATCCATGGCTTTTTTCTGTCCCTTAGTCTCTGAAGTTGACGAAGAGGGTGAAGGAGATGTGCAGCATGGTGCCGGGCATCAAACACACTATTCTGCTCATAGGAGGAGGTAAGGCATAGATGTCATAAAAACAAGTAGTGAATAATAAATACATTTTTGGGGGGCTCACAAATCATTACTAGTAGGATTGTAAAAGAGACTAGTGCTCAAGTCAATGTCTTGGTTTAGTGCTGCCATAAGCTCCTTCTCTGTAACCTCTAAAGAATTACACACTGAATAAGGATTGTGTTACTTCAGGCCCTGCCTCCCTGGTTTGTGCTGAAACTCTACGACAGAACTGTTACCAGGGTCGAATCATTATGGTAACCAAAGACAGCATACCTCCATTTGACAAGCCCAAACTGAGTAAGGTGAGCGCTCAATCAGACAGGAGAGGTTACGTGGATACTTCTGTCAGTTTTTGTTGACAACTTGTATCTAGTTGGGAGTTTTTAACAGAAATGGCCTGCCTCTTTCAGGCTATGAATGTGGACAGCAGCAGCATCCTCCTCCGACCGAGTGACTTCTATCAGCAGTATGGGATTGAAGTGTGGACACAGAAGGAGGTGAGAAACGTTGATTTGTTATCACCATCTAAAGGGAAAACTGATTCTCTTGTTAAGAAAATGTTTTGTGTTGCAGGCGGTGTCGGTGGATACGGCTGATAAGGCGGTGAAGTTGAGCGACGGCACTTTGCAGCACTACGACCAACTCCTCATCTCAACTGGCTGTAGGTGAGAATCAACATCCAGTTCCTCAAACAGAGGATTGTTTTTCATCCCCCAGTTGTTGTTTTGTCACACTCAGGTTTCATAATTAGCTGGACACATAAGGAAATGGTGACTTCCATGTGACTGCAACAACATGCAGAACAAGTCTTTTGTTTTGTTCACAGAGCGCGGCCGCTTGACTGTCCTGGATGGGACCTGAAGGGTGTGACGTTACTGCAGAGATATGAAGACGCCAAAGAGATTCACAACGCCTGTCTGGGCCAGAAAGCTGTCGTAATCGGAGCCTCCTTCATAGGTTACCAGATTCTGTTTCTCTTTACGTGCTTTATAACATTCAATAATTATTAACCTTGTGCACGGCCAACTTGCTCGATATGAAATCTGCTATGTTAATATTTACTAGAGCAAGAGAAATCTACTTTACAACACATGGAGTCACACCAGTATTTCAGACTGCTGCTGACATGTTTTTTATTCACACAATAGGTATGGAGGTGGCGTCCTACTTATCAGACAAAGCTGCCAGCGTGGCCGTGGTTGGCCCCTCCAGATACCCGTTCGAAAAATCTCTGGGGCCAGAGATTGGCAAAATGAGTATGCAAGTAAGAAACAGTAAAATAATGATGTAGTATTGCTGAATGTGATGTTACTAGCCTTAATTCAACTGAACAAACTTTAAAACACAGTTTCTTCTTTTAAGATGTTGGAGGAACAAAATGTAAAGTTTTACATGAACGAGAGAGTCACAGAGATCCAAGGGGAGAACGGCAAGGTAACTTTACTTCTAATGAGAAGAGGCAGACATGTTTTCTTGCAGCTAGATAGCTCAGGTGTCACTTTAACATTATCAATCATTTGGATATAATCTATTGTCAGCGATGGTGAGGTGGGAAAAAAAGGCTATTTTTATTGATACAAAAGAAAAGTGTATATTCTATTGTAGATCCCTTAATGAGTATTTTCTTCCAGGTGAAGGGGGTGCTGCTGAAGAGTGGTCGAGTCCTGGAGGCGGATGTGGTGATTGTTGGAATTGGTATATTTTTATTTTAATTTTATAGTGTTGGACTAAATATGTTTTTATTAATATTTTTAACATAAATCAAGTTTAGGGCTATATTAAAAAGCAAACCTTTTGTTTTTCAGGTGTAATCCCAAATTCAGATTTCTTGCTGGGAAGCAAGTTGGAAGTGAATTCAGGGAAAGCTGTGATTGTTGACAAGGTAACGGTTCAGTCAAAATGTAATATTGACATAACTAATGAATCATAAACACTACTTTACATTGAATAGCTTTAATTGCTTGTTTGGGCAAACATGTCTAGCTAAATGTCAGGCTGCTGCTTTGAACTCCTTTCTCTTTTCTAATAGTTCATGAGGACCAATATACCAGATATTTTTAGCGCTGGAGATATTACGTCTTTTCCTCTGAGCATCCGAGGAGACCAAAGGGTCAACGTCGGTCACTGGCAAATGTCACAAGCTCAAGGTAAGAAACCAACGTTCAGATAATCACAGCTTCATATTGTGCTGAAAGTTGACAATACTTTCCTGTTTAAATAGTTCTGCATTTGGCATCATTTTTATAATCCTTAATAATTTGATGCATGGTTTTTATGTTATCATGCACATATTGTTTTTTTTCACCCTCAGGGAGAGTAGCGGGCCTAAACATGCTGAAGAAACAAACCAAATTCGAGTCTGTTCCTTTCTTCTGGACTGTGTTACTTGGGAAGAGTATCCGATACACAGGTAGAGTAATTTACTGAGGAAAATATCACCCCTGCAACATAATACTTTAATATATATAAAATATAATACATCTTCATATAAAACCCTGAAACTGTCATTTCCCCTTTTCATTTCCTCATTCTAGGCTATGGAGAAGGCTACACAGAAATTATATTCCAAGGCAAAGTGGAAGAGAGGAAGTTCCTGGCATTTTACATCAAGTGAGCAGCTGTTGAATAGCTTCTGATGCAGCTTAATATACATGTATGCTATTTCTGCTTAACTTTTTTGATTTGTGCTTTACCAGAGACGATGAGGTGGTAGCTGCAGCGAGCTTTATGTTCGACCCCGCGGTGGCTCGTCTTGCAGAGCTGATGGCGACGGGCCACGTCTTCACAAAGGCACAGGCTCAGTGAGTGTCATCCTGCATTTACACAAACTGGATGTGTTTAAATACTGTATACACATGTAATACATGAAATCATTATGAATTCTGCAGACGCAATAATGTCATCGGAGAGTAAATGTCGTTCTTATTTTGGCCACTTGGGGGCAGCAGAACCATACTGTGAACACATCAACCTTTTAAGTTCATATAGCAAACCTGTGAGCAAGTGTTGCTTATTTACACATCCAGCAGATATGGAGAAACATTATAATTAATTTAGAGTCATGTTTGTATCTACAGCTACAACAACTAGTTGATTTATCGATAAGTCGATCGACAAAAAAATAAAACTGTTTTGATAATTCATTTAATTTAAGTAATTTGTTTTCAACCTCTTAAACATGGAGATTTCCTGCTTAGTAAAACATTGAAAATATTTTAGACTCGCAGAACAAGGCATTTAAAGACATCATCATGGAGTTAACATGATTATATAAATTGTGTTATTTTCCAGTTTGTAGAGTCAGAGCTTTTCACTGAGAAGAATTGAGAAGAAAAAAGAAATGCATGAGAGTGAACCTAAACATATATAGTTGTATTGGCGGTTATAAAACCAAAGCAATAGGCTGAAAGATGCTAAAACACTCTGCAAAGTTGTTGGTTGTTCAATACAAGTTGCATATCTCATTTTCAATATAGTAATTTGATCGTCTGATGATATGTTTTTAATATATTTATAATAGCAGCCAGATATTATTCTCAACTTGTACAGAGACTCTGGGGATGCTTAAACCTGAAGCTGAATCAGAAGTGTGTATTGAAGTCATGTAAACTATACATAGGGTATAACATATTAGGTTACTTCATGTTCTACATATATATTACACCAAATCACGGATCAACACTTATAACCTGGATACTTTTCTTGCTAAATCTTTTTTTTCTCAGAGCCGATGACCTGAGCTGGCTGCAGATGTAAGCAGAGGCCTGCTGTTTCCAGGAGAAACACGTTGCAGCGACGCAGGATGTCGCCTTTCTCTTTCTTATTTCCTTTCTCAATGAAACCGTGCCAAATTGGATTGATCCATTTACTGCCTCTGGGATGAAAGCCAACCAGACCTCCACTCCTTATCAGAGCTGCAAGAAAAGCTTTTTGTACTTTGTGCAATTTGAATAATCTTGTTTTTGTATAAAAGTTAGCGCTGAGCTTCAGTCTGCAATGTTCAAAACAACAGATAAAGCCAGAAATCTAGGTGTACTCATGGACTCTGACCTGAGTTTCAACAGTCACATTAAAACAATTACTAAATCAGCCTACTATCACCTAAAGAACATATCTAGGATTAAAAGACTAATGTCACAGCAGGATTTGGAAAGACTTGTCCATGCTTTTATCTTCAGTAGACTGGACTACTGCAATGGTGTCTTTACAGGTCTCACTAAAGAATCTATTAGAAAGCTGCAGCTGATTCAGAACGTCGCTGCTCGAGTCCTCACTAACACTAAGAAAGTGGATCACATCACTCCAGTTCTGAAGTCTTTACACTGGCTTCCTGTGTGTCAAAGAATAGATTTCATCTGTGGGTGTTTGCACCTGCTATATCTGACTACTTTATATGGATTTCAATGACTACTTCTTTTACGATGTTGTATTTTAGTGTTGCCTCTGTGTTTAGTGTCCTGTCTGTCTGTAACTTTGTGTGGTAGTGTTACCACTGACAGGTCTCTCTTGAAAATGAGACCTTGTGTCTCAATGAGATTTTACACCTGTATAAATAAAGGCTAAATAAAAAAAAAAAATAAAAAAAAAAAAAAATACTGCTGCTGGTTTATAAAGCATTGAATGGTTTAGGCCCAAAATACATTTCTGACCTGCTGCTAAATTATGAACCATCCAGAACTCTCAGGTCTTCAGGGACTGGTCAGCTTTCTGTCCCCAAAGTCAGAACTAAACATGGAGAAGCAGCGTTCAGTTATTATCCTCCAAATATCTGGAACAAACTCCCAGAAACATGCAGGTCCGCTGCAACTCTGACTACTTTTAAATCCAGGCTGAAGACTTATCTTTTTGCCACTGCTTTTAATTGAAACTGAGCGGTTGTGTTTCGTTTTTGGTTAATGAACATTTGGGGCTAGTAACCCCAGGGAATCAGTGTCTGGGGACTTTGTCCTGGCTGGTTTTCTCTGTGTATGCTGCTCGGGACGTATGTGCCATACAAGCGTACACAGCTCATGTTCGGAGAAACCTTAAAGAAAGGCATCAGTAAAGTGGAACTTCTGTGTGAACTATTCACATCTTAAACTGCACTGTAACTTTTTATTCATGTATTTCTTTCTTTTAATGTTTATTTTTTATCTTTGCTTTTTAATGACTGTTTTTAAATGCGTTTTTCTGAATGTCTTTCATTTTTGTAAAGCCTTGCCTAACAAGCTAGCATAGTTTGCTTGAGACAGAAAGGCTACCTGTTTTTATTTCAAGTTTAAATACAACTCTGCACCCAATTTTGAACTCCTTTTCAGTATAGTCAAAGTAATATAATACAAGTAGTCATATATTTCATACTATTGTATCCACTTAAACATTATGGAAACACACAAACCACTCTATTTGTCTGTTACAATATATTCATGAGTTACTATTTTAAGATCTAAAATACAAAAGTCAGTTTAAACACTTGCTCAGCAAATGGAGATATTGATAATTAAGCCCTTTTTATTTAATTTGTTGTCAGTACCTGTTTAGTTGTCACTTCAATACTTGAATCAATAATAAATGTTTATAGCAGAGATGTAGCTTATTGTTTATCATATAACTTGAACTTCAAAGAAATTTAAAGCACTTTGTGTAATCTTTACTTTCATTAAAAAAATATATATCTGAATGCTTGTGGAACATAACTAAAGCTGTCTGTTTCATACTCACCGTGTTTTCTGTCCGGGATAATCTTCCTGAAAATGTTTGAAACAATGACTATAATAAATGATTGCTTAACCTTTGCTGATTCAGTGTATTTCAATGTTCATACTCAAACCATAGCTTTTTTAATTGTGATAGAATAAAACACATGTAATAATCTTTAACTGCTTGTGCTGTTGTGAGAGTTAATTTATCATTTTATAAACCACCCACTAACAGCACGAAGGGCCACTTATCATCCCCGTCAGTTCAAGTTAATCTTTTGTGTTACACAATGACAGCAGTACAGTGGAGCACAAATACTGTCATTATGCTTTTATTGTTATTTTACTTTTTTTGCATACATTTACTTTGACTTTATTCAAATAGGTTAAATCATAGGAAAAGTAAAAAACAATTACAAAATGTTTTTCTTTAGTATCTGGACACATAATTATTATAATATTACTTTGACAGTGTTATCTTGTCAAACAACTAAACAATGTCATCACAACAGAAAGTAGAGGACGACTAACACATCAAATGATTACTCTTACATATTACTGATTTAAATAAGGACGGCTATTTGCCCCCCCCCCTCTCTGGATGGGACTAATAAAGGTATTCTGATTCTGATTCTCATCTTTATTTGCTTGTTTTGGAGCATTGTGTCACAGAGGATCCCAGTTTGTCAGCCAGCAGGAATGGGTTGAGGTGGCAGTACTGAGGAAAACATAAACAAAATTAATGGTCACTTTGACGTGCGGCTGAAACAAATCTTCAAGCTTTCATTGCGTCGTTTCTACAAAGAGTTATTGTTTCTGTTAAACGTATGCAACCTGTGATCAATTTGATTCCTGCATATAACATGTATGTCAACTTTTCTTACTTCCAACATGCATTCAGTAATAAAACTTTCAAAATTAAAGCATTTCAGTCACAGTTTATCCAGAACATCATCTACCTGTGGTGTTGACGCTGAGCTGGACTCTGGTTGATCTGACATCTGGATTTTGAAATCCGAAAAGAAACGAGATCTCTGGAGGATTGCTGCCATCTCACCATTTACCTCCACTGCCACATCTTTCTGCAAATTGCACAAAACAAAACATTGACCTAATCTTTACAACAACTGGATTTGTTTCTTTGAAATTAGAAAGTATGACACATATAGACCTACTTATTTTATTAATGGAAAAACTAGCCAAAGTTAAACATTGATAAAGCGATTAAATGTTATATCATTTTACTGTCTGGCCTTCTTATGTGGGACTTTTATTGTACCTTGAAGCAGTGCGAGGAGTCAAAGTCCAGCTGATCTGGGAACTCTGCCACAGTTCCTCTGTAGGTCACTGTTGCCTCAGACAGGACCGACCCTTTGGGCAGCTTAAAGAGTCGATAAGTGCCTGAAGCATAGCTGATATCACCTGCAAAATAAAGAGCGGGCTCTATTGTAGAGTGAAATTATCACCACATGTCATTAAAGGTTAATGTTGCTTGATTGTTACCTGCTTTTGCTTTGAGCTCACAGTTGTAGATTGCAATTTGGCTGGCTGAAACAAGGCAGGGAGTGCTGAAACCTACGCTGTGTGCCAGTGAGATTAGATCTTGCCAAAACAGAGATCCACCCATTCCCTCACCTAGGACAGGAATCAAAGGTCGCAGACAGAGGACATTGTGTGTCAGGTGTGCAGGTATTCTGCTGTTTAACATTGAATTCTCAATAATTATGCATTTAATTTACCCCACAGGGCTGCATCTTCCTTCATGTGGTCAGGAACGACTTTGCTGGCATACATGTCACTATAGTACATTTCACCCCCCTCCTGTTAAAGTGAGTCAACAGAACCATAACAAGTGCGCACCATTTTTTTTTTTTTACACATTAATGTTGTTGGAATATTATGACTAACCTTTAGGACATTGTAGGCCTGCTGCAGCGCTGCTCTTTTATCAGGACACAAACAGAGTACACAGTTGGATCTGGATGAATTGGAAAGAAAAAAAGAGATTTGTTTAGCAACTACTCAAAGCTGTTTAACATTAACACTATGTAACATACCATAAAGTCACAGACAGATCTTCAACAAGGGCTTTAAACGTACAGCACAACATCCATTGAGTCACTCTGTACGCCAGCTTCACTGAGCTTCTCCATGTACCCCTGGACGAAAGTGATGTTGGGCTTCTCATGGCCGAACTTCTTCTGGTGATACTCAATGTACTGACGGGACGCTGTGATCTAAAGAAATGCAATTGAATTCAATGGAAAGCACAGAAATCAAGTGTCAAATGTCGTGTGAAGATGCATGTGTAATCACCAGCTCCTCCGTCATATCGACGCCTGTCACATGTCCACTCGGCCCGACCAGTTTACTGAAGGCGTAGCAGTCTCTGCCGGAGCCGCTGCCGAGGTCCAGGACTCTGCAGCCCTCAAGTTTCGCTGGAAAGGGAAGGCCACAACCGAAGAATCTGGAGAAACATTGTTGTTGATGGCAAGAGTGTATAACTACAAAATCCATGTGCAATGATGGGAAGATGCTATAGAGATATGTGTGTGATGTAAAGGATGACAACAGACTATGAATGACCAGAAAGAAAGCGTTTCACTCTTCTGGAAGTCATTTTTAACCACTAAATTGAAGCCAATCAGGATTACATTTTAGTGATGTGTGAATCACAGTGGCAAAGGGTGCAATAAAGGACGATAGTTTTTTCTGCAATATGCTTTCTAATGTGTTTTTAGAGAGGTTCAATAAGCAATTTGTGAGTGAGCAGTGTATGTTTGATTTGTAGCCTGTCTGTGTTTTGTCCTCATGTCATCACTGTGTAATCTAGTACTGCTACAAAACTGTTAATTCCTGTTACACTGTTAATAACAGTGGACCGAAAATATTTTAAGATTTTACTTGTGTGTGGAATATCAAACAACACGTTTGATATTCCGGTTATTTCTGAAAATACAGATGATACAAAATTGCACATCATACCTTTTGGTCACCTCGGGGTGAACCAGGCTCAGGGCATCAGTGACACTCCTTGGCACCGGGCGGCAGGACAAACTGCAGGAGGCTGCGCTTGTTTGCAAATCACTAGAGGACTCCAGTCGACTGCCATAGTACTTCTGCACACATAAAATGGTCAGCTTGTGGTGAACAACTTAACAACTGCTTTACCATTTGAATACATTATTTTACAGAAATGCTTCCAAATCAGGTACAGTTACTAGAGGGTAAATATAATGATGCTCATTTTTTATTTTTATTTTATTTCCTAAGAAAATAAATAATACATATATCCATGAGTCAGCTACAACTAAACACTATTACAATTGAGAGTGAGTGAAAAGTCTAAACAGTTGGGTAAAAATGTAATAAATATA